TTTAACAGAATTTGTATGCTGCCCTAATAAAAGACTCTGGGTGGCTCAAAGCAAATAAAAACAAATGCAATAAAAATAACCGTAACAACATCACACATTAAGACCAAAACTAGACATTTAATAAGCAGCACCATCCTAGTATAGTACTCTATGTCCCACAAGCTTGGCAGAAGAGAACCAACCATCTTTAATGGTTAACAGAGGGGCCATTTTGGGCTTTTTTTAGGGAGGGGAGGAAGCTGTTCCAAAAGCCTAGGTTGGGCACCAAAAAGGCTTGTTTTAGGACCCCTGGATATCTAGACTGTATTTTTTCAAAGAGCCAGGCACAATTAATATTAGACAATGACACTTTGAAGGGTAACAAAAAATACCTTTGCACCTGATTCTACTGTACAAAATCTTACTATGAATAACTTTCTCCTTAATTTCTAAAGAAGACTATAGAAGAATTAGCCTGATTTCAGAATGGAAACAGAATAATTGCTCTCAAAAAACTTTTGGGGGAATGATTTGAGGTTTCAATTCAATTTATCCAAATAACTTCTTTGAACAATAAAATCTACTTTCGTAAATAATCAAGAATTGACCACAAATATAATCCATAATCAGCATTTCATTCCTCTAAAATAACATATTAATCATAATCTTTCCAGATTCTACTGGAGGGTTATAATCAAATTAATATGTATTATGATCTTTGACGGTAATGCCCATTTAGTTGTTTTTGTCAAAAAAAAATGAGAAAATTGGGAAAACCATTCCACAATCTTTGGTAATTTATACTGCTGTTAGTTTACTGTGCATAGTTCTAAGACTGATAAACTGGGGCAACATAAGAAATCAGCTCAATTTATGTTGTCAGCTGAAAAACTAAAGTGCATGGCTAGTGAACTTGCTGAATGCTTAACATAACATAAGAAATATTTGAATTTACCTCAAATGGAATTCTCTTATTCTGCCCAGTTTCACTGAATGCATGTGCCAAAAGGAAGACATCATCTACCCCAACTCCTAGAGCAAGAAAGGGTAAAACCTGCATAAAAAGGAGACAGTAAGCAAAATCTGTTTTTAAGATGTTTTATACCCAACCAGAGAACAAGGGAATGAAGTATGATAAGGAAGTCCAGCCTTACCCTTCAGTTTAGACATAAACAGAAATCTTGAGGCATTTTAGTTAGGAAGAAGGCACAATTCTTTATGCACACAATAATTAACACCATTGACTGTTTCTCCTCAGGCAGTGATCCCCATCATATTGTCATGTCCAATACAGGGTAACAGGTCTTCATGTGGATTCATGAGAACCCAAGTCTATCTTTACAGTCAGCCAAATGAGCCAGTTGCTTTGGGCAACTAATACTGAAGGATATGTACCACAGGATCTCTTTTTCCCTCACTTCAGTCTGCTGTCTTCAGGTGAAATGGAGAATACCATTTCCCTGACAGTGATGACAAAAGATGAAATTTCAAGGATGTTGATTTCCACATGGAACAGGAAAGGGCATAAAGCTTCTTCATGTTAGTCAACAGGATATCTTGGGTCAATGTTGTGAAATCTACTTTATAAGCTAGATTACAGGGGTTGAAGCTGAGAGATGGTACTGATGATGCTTTAGCATTAGACTGAGATTGAGAAAAGTCCTCAGGCTTGCACACCACCCCCATAGCCCTAAACCATAAGCAGAAGGACCTTATATCTAATCATACATGTTCTATCAATAACATGTAACAAGAATAAATAAACTAGCCGGTCCTACCCTTAGGCAGAGTGAGAAGGTTGCTTGACACAGCTGATTTTGGATCATAAATTGTTGAATAATAATAATAATAATAATAATAATAATTTAATAATAATTATTATTATTACTACTACTACTACTATCATTATTTCCTCAGGTGAGGTGAAAAACTTTTTGCCAATTGTGTCATAGTATGCACTTTCACAGCACTTGCGTTTGCACATCCTGCCTTTGGAAACAGAGCTTATTCAAGGACAATTTGAATTTCTTGGCTGACTGGAGATTTCAGTGCAGGTCTCCAACATCCAGCCTTTCCCTCTTTACTTTGCAGTTAACAACCAGTTCCTTTCAAAAATTTCAGTGCAAATTATAAACCCTTTTTGTCCCTCTTTTACTCTGCTGGATATCGACCCATGCCGTGCCAAACCTGCAGTTCTGTTGTGTGTGTGAAATGTAAATATATATTCCATAGAACCATATGCCATATTTAGAGGTCTTCTGGGACTTAAATAACCTCAGATATGTTGGTCTTAAGTAAACATATTAATTCAAACTTCTGAGGTTGTTTTCTACAGTCCATCCTGCTCCCTCCATGCATACACCACCCTCAATATGAGACATTCCAGTGCATCACCTTGCAAACTGTTTGTTTAATACCTGAGTTGTGGCAGCGTTAAAGGAAATCCCAATCAAGGAACACAGTCCCAATCCTGCAGCTACTGAGAGGGCAACCAACAAGACTCCTGCCAGCCCCACAGCGCCCTGGGATTTAGCACAGTCCCACCTCAGCATGGTTAAGCAGGCGTAGGCAAGCTGTAAGCAGAACAAAAGAGCATTTTTTTCCCCAAACCAGGCCTGACATTAGAGAAAGCCAGTTTAATGTTTCCTTTTCCTGACCAAAACTTTCAACAACAAAATACACTTTTAATGGAACGCAGCAGTGAGATAGAGCAATGGCTTTGCTTGTCTAATCCTGTCATTAGGTTTGAATCCCACCTCCACACATCATAAGCAGACATCTTTTCAGTTCTGTTACCATTTAAGAGGAAACCACAAAGAACAACCCTGTGGCCCCATCCCAAGCTGGGTATGTGCTCACGCTAATGAACCACAGATCTTCTTTGGATATGAGACGTGAGCAAGTGGCATAAAAATGCAGTTTTTAAGGCTGTTAAAAACATTGTAAGGATGATTTGTATGACAACTTAGCATAAAAAAATCATGTAGTGGTACATCATGAATTACAGGTTTCTCCAGCCTGGTCCCTTCCAGATCTGGATGGCCTCAGCTTGAAGAAGACTGAAGAAGCATAAGATTAATATTATATCCAATTTACCATTAATAGATAGCCGCTAGCAACTCTGATGACGCTGACATCAGAAAATGACTTTAGGATGTCCTCCAGAGTCGTTGTCGTAAAGGAAAGCACCTTCTGAGTAGAATTTTGCGCAAGACTTTGATGAGCAACCTGTGAAAAGAAGACTGGAGCTGTAATTGCAAAAAGGAAGTCACTGTGATACACTTCTGCAAAGGATTTATATTTGGCACTAACTCTGTATTTCTTGTCCTCCCTGTATCCGTTGCCCTCTCTCTTCTCATTCGCGCACAGGCATTCTCATCTACAAACACTGCAGATGCATCCTTGACCCTTTGTTACATAATTGCCATACTTGATCAGAGCCACAGCAGGCTGCTACAGATCAAATAAGAATGTACACCTTGAAGGAGAGGAAAATGGCAATTTATTTAAAATAGTGAAACTGAAGAAGGCTCACGGTTCACTCTGCCCCTCCTGCCCCGTTTTCTGCATTCCGTCCAGAAGTCTACAACTCATTTGTTGTTATACCCAATCTAAAAACAACAAATTCTTAAGAGTAGTCCTCTCTTTTTTCATTGGCTGGACACTTCAAAGAGGTCACAAGCAGCTCAGCAGAGGTCAATGCCTGGGAAACAAAGGCCAGATAATGTCACATGACCTCACCAAGGGGACTGCAGCTGTGAACAGATTCTACGGCGGGCTAATGTTTTCCAGACACCTTTGCTGGAAAAAAAGAATCACCCTGACCAAATGCTTACTTTTTCTCTTTAAGCTATGGCAGCTCGCAGTCAATCAGCAGCGCAAGAGTACGAATTTTAAAAGCCATGCATTCTAACATATACGAACTTCTCTTTAATTTTACCAACAGAAGAGCCAGCGATGCTTCACTCAACTTCTTATTGTGGGTGGCAGTTTTAATGTTTTTTTTTTTTCTAAAAAAAAGTTCTTAATCAGCCAGTCCTAAGCATGTTCTTCCAGATATGTTGGATTTCAACTTTCCTCTTTTCTAGCCAGCCTACTGTTGGGCATATTGGCTGGGAATTACAGGGGTTGAGATCCAACATATGGTATCTCCACTCTCCTGCTTGGAGAAGGCTGACTTAAATAGAGACCCATCCTAACCAGTAACACTATCTCGAGGGATATCCCTGAGGGGCTGCAATGACGAGACCTCCTAGGGTTCACAGTGAAAGTAGTTAAGAAACAGTTCTCCAAGTAAACTTCTATTTTACCTCAACATACATCCTCTGCCATGCTTCCAGGATCGCAGCTGCTTTGTCCTCATTCCAGTTGATGTGTGAAACATAGTCGTAACCCTTGAAGTGCTCATACATTTGCTTTGGAGTCATTAGCTGAAACATGGTCTGTAAAGCCTGAGCACTGCAAGAGAGATGTGGGAACTTAGAAGGAGAAAAGGACAACCAGTCAAAGCCCCCCCCTCCCCCAAAAAAGCTGATCAATGGTTGAACTGAGTAGAAGGCCGTTTCTTCAGCAGTTTGTTTTTTGTAACTGCTGTACACATTTTATTTGACTGAAAACCACCTTCAGTGTTGTTTAAAATGGAGGGGAAAATCTAAGTTATAAACCATCTTTATCTTCTTCTTTTAGATTGATATAAAAAGCTGATCCTTTCCTGCATCATAAAGCTGATGCAGACACATTGGAATATAGAAAGTTTATGAGCTACCTCCCAGTTTCTCTAATAAAGGACTGATCAGATTAAGTATTCTTAGGTCCACTCTATCTGTATAATTTAAATAAGGCTCAATTTGCAAAGTGGCAGAACCTGTAGAGGAGTCACACTATAAAGGAGATGTGTTCAGATGGCAAAAGATCTGAAGGAAATGGAAGTCTTTTAAAGTGAACGTTTTTTCCTTCAAGAAACACAAAAAGTACACAACACAGACAGTTGTAGCCAATCGCGTCCTTCCAAAGGCAACAGGGTCCGCAGACGTTCCATCACTGAATAGGATTCCCCATATTTGCTCCAGAATTGGAGGATGGGTGACCCTTCAGAACAGCATGTGACACATGGGGGAGAGGTAGCTAAAGAAAGTCATCTCCATCCTATTCAACAGACCAAAATCTCCAATGGATCAAATAATCATTAGTCACCAGAAGATAATCATAGGCTACATAGGTATCATGGCATATTTACTTACAATTGGAAAATGAGTAAAACTATTAGAGCTCAAATGAGAGCTACACTTTGATTAAATTTGTTGCTAATTTAAATGATATGCCATTTGTTCTTTTGTTCTTTGGACTATATATATACAAAGGGGGTCTCCAATTTTAATTTTTTACTGAACATTATCCCCAGTATCTCATAAACAAAAGTGAATTTTACAGGTATAATAAATAGTAATGCCCTCATTACAGAGGACAAAGTTTTCACAGCAACTGTTTAAAAAAGAAAACAGTAGCTGGATTTATACATCACATTTAGCCACGGTTTGTTTAAACCAAGGTCTGTTGACTAAGGACAGTTGGCTGGGTTCAGATATAATACTAAGTTATAAGCCATGGCATATGAGGAAAAATGGCTAGGTTTACACAAGACCAACCAAACCACATGTCGCTTAGTGGATGTGTCGACTCAAACCAGGATGTCCCAGGCAAGAATTACCTGGTTAGGAGCACTTACCTGACAAGTTTCCCAGTACCATTTTTAACAGTGCCACCAACAATCAGTTCTTCCTGCCAATGCATGTATTTTTTTGACAGCCCATAGCATCCACCACTTAAAGCAAGGGCGACATCAAGAGGCTGGAAATATTTAAAAAAAGATATTACAGAATCAAAGATAGGAAAGTACAAATTTTTGGAGGATCACTGATGCTAGTTTGGATATCCCTGAAGGTAATTTTCCAAATATACAGAAATCCTGCAAATCCTGCTCTGGTTGCAAACTCTGAATGGGGTGAGGAGAGATCAAGGACATTCTTTATGGCAGTATTTTCATGCTACCAGGATTGATTCTGGCAGATGTAGCTTTAGATTTCTCTTGGTTTGGTAGCTGTAAATTTTTACCTTCTTCAGGGTGATTCCACCTCTAAGTAGAGAAAAGTAACTGCCTTGGGTAGTAGATTTTGGTTCTCATGAAAAGGTAGCAAAGGCTGATTTAGTCTGTTACTATTGTATTTTTATTCCTAGGGATGCAGTATCTGAGGGATTTTCTGACTCATGTGGCAAAACAACTTGATTATTTGGGGTAACTGTAATCCGTGTGGAAGGAAGCCTTTTTTTTTTTTTCTAAATTAGGCAGCAAATTAACTTCGGCTCCCTTGAGTGGTCCCTGCAAAACTTATTAAGAGACAACAACAATAATCATAAAAGCGGAGAATAAAGAGAGAAAAAAGGAAAGTTCACTCCAGCAACATAGCAAAATCTTGTAGCCCAATATGGCTGGCATCAGACAGAGGGCAGCTGAGGAAAAAAGTAACATTCAATTTAGTTCATTAACTCAATCATTTAAAAATGAATGAAGGGGAAAAGTTATTAAAATATGTATCACTGAAATTATTAAAGACAGCATGCAACTAGTTTACTGAAAAACTAGTTGCATTTTCTTATAAATTGATTTAAGAAGGAAGAAAATGTTGAAAACACTTTATGATAAAGACAGCCATAAGCTTCTTTTAGCTATGTTTACTTTGTATTTTGGATTTAAAGCAAAAAAGTTTACACCAATTACAGTTACCAAACTAACCCTAACCCTAGCTATTCATTAGAGTAAAAAAAAAAAAAGTACTAGATATTCCTTGAAAATACAGCTGAAATACTATCTAAGATTTAGATTGAATAATTAGAATAATATGAGAAAAGGTATTTATCATACACAAATAAAATCTGGCCATACTGTTTTTTTCCCTTTAATTCAGGCAAAGTTCCCTTTGTGATTTTATACTTAATGGATATTAGGAACAAACTGGCTAAATGATTCACTGACATGTGATTGAGAGAGAGAGAGAGAGAGAGAGTGAGTTTGATCTAGTGGTTAAGGTACCAGGCTAGAAAGCAGGAGACTGTGAGTTCTAGTTCCGCCTTAGGCATGAAAGTTGGCTGGGTGACTTTGGGCCACTCACTCTCTCTCAGCCCAACTCACCTCACAGGATTGTTGTTGTGGGGAAAATAGAAGGAGAAAGGAGTATTAGGTATGATTGCT